CCCCCCAACCGCCCCCCCATCCCTCCCCGTCCCGCCCGGCGGGGCCGCGGGTACCGGGCGGGGGGCGCGGGCGGCTCCGCTTTACGGCTGCGCGGCGACCGCCGCCGCAATGGGCGGGGAGCTTGCGACAGGCCGTAAAGCGGGACGGGGCGGGGGGGGACACGGGCGGGGCCCCGGGGCCGGCCCCACCCGAACGGGCCCGTCCGGGCCCGCCCCGCCCCCCCCCGGCCGGGCGGGACGCGGGGACACCCCGTGAGGTGACGTGGGGCGTCACGGGGACACCCCCCGGGGACACCCCCTGGTGGGGCACGGGGACACCCTGGGCGGGACAGGGGAACCCCCCTTGGGGACAGGGGAACCCCCCTTGGGGACACGGGGACACCCCCCTTGGGGACACGGGGACACCCCCCGGGGGGACACGGGGACACCCGGTGAGGTGACGTGGGGATGCTGCATCCCCCACGGGACACGGGGACATCCCTTCCCAAGGGGACACTGGAGGGGGACACGGGGACACCCCTTGATGGGACAGACACGGCACCACTGTGCGGGGGACACTGGGAACCCCCTCGAGGGGACAGGGGGACACGCTGAGGTGACATGGAGGTGCTGGGAGGGGGACATGGGGACCCCCTCCCGGGACCTGGGGACACCCCGCCGTGGTCTCCACGTGTCCTGACATGGAGAGGCTGCGAGGTGACATGGGGACCCTGTCACCAGCACCCCCAAGAAGACAGGGGGACACCCCCAGGGGACAGGGGCACCCTGCGAGGGGACGGGGGTGCTGCAGGGGACACGGACACTCTCCCCCGGGACATGGGGACACGCTGTGACATGGAGATGCTGCAAAGGGGACACGGGGACACCCCCAAGGGACACGGGGACACCGTGCGGGGTGACGGGCGCTGCAGGCGACACGGGGACACCGCCGCGCAGTGACGAGGCAGCCGGGGCGCCGGGGCCGCCGCTTTATTCACGGGCGGTGCGGGAGCGCCCGGTCCGCTTCCCGGGGGAGCAGCCGGTCCGGTTGGCGCGGGAGCGGCCGGTCCGGTTCCCGGGGGAGCAGCCGGTCCGGTTCCCGCGGGAGCGCCCGGTCCGGTTCCCGGGGGAGCAGCCGGTCCGGTTCCCGCGGGGGCGGCCGGTCCGGTTCCCGCGGGAGCGCCCGGTCCGGTTCTCGCAGGAGTAGCCGGTCCGGGTGGCGCGGGGGCAGCCGGTCCGGTTGGCGCGGGAGCACCCGGTCCGGTTCCCGGGGGAGCAGCCGGTCCGGTTGGCGGAAGGGCGGCCGGTCCGGTTCCCGCGGGAGCGGCCGGTCCGGTTCCCGGGGGAGCAGCCGGTCCGGTTCCCGCGGGGGCGGCCGGTCCGGTTCCCG